GCGGTTCTCTTAAAAATACTTGAAATATTCACTCTAATGGTATTGATTTCTTAATTTATCTCATAGATATCTAGTGAAATTAGCAGCGTCCATCACCAACAACGAAAGCTCTTGTATATTTCATTCCTTCTATTCTCTCCTCTATTTAAGATTTAACATTTTGATTTCAACTTCGCCTAGTTCGTAGTATTACAAAGCAAAAACCAATGTCAATCTTCCAATAAATCGTATTTTAATATGAGTTAACTAATATTTCGCATGAAGCTTACTACTGGGATATATTTGTGTCGTATTACTGGATGAGTTTTCCAATTTACTGGATAAATCCTTGCGTTTACATCGCAGAAAAGAAAAAGCAATAGAATAGTTTTACAGAAAAGCACTACATATGCACTATTGGGAAAATCGAAAACCACAAAAATGTTGTCATGTTGTTCCGTACTTAATTTCCAAAAGTAATGAAACGTCAAACAGTTACACATTCTGGAACAATACAATCACAATTTATTATTAATCTTTAATAAAGCATTATCACTGTTTCTAAAAATTAAAGTTTTATATTTACCAAAAGGAAAAGTTAGATATTTACTAAGATCTGTACATGCTAGTGGTAGTGGACTATAGTAGGATATTCTGATATCCTCATTAACTTAAAAACGTAATGCATCACACATAATTACTATCACTGAAAGTTTTTCGTGGAAGAACATACCAGTCAGATGATAGCTGGAAATTGCGTTCGTAGACACTCACTAATTCTTGGAGTTAAAAAAGTTTTCGTACGTAAAAAAACTCCCTGTCTTCGTTTCGCTAATTGTAACTTCTTGATGCAAGGATATTCTTACACCATGTGTAACCTCATTCTCAGATGCTTGCTCGCGCTAACAAATGTGAGTTAATTTCGATTGCGTACTCGCAAAAACAAAAACAAACTAAACTAGGAGTGGTACTACAACAGCACGTGCATATTCGCCCGTAATTCCACGCAAAATTAAAGAGTACTCAAATTTTCGAAAAATTGTACATGACCTTATTTTAAAATCTACCTTTAAGGAACATGATTTATTAAGGAGGAAATCTTTATCTTCAATATTTTAGTTGAAGGAAGACGCCGAAAAATTTTTGAACTATTGTAATTTTCGAAAAATCTGGATTTACATTAAACATGAGACCTGCACCTTTCTCTTAAATGTCAGTCAGACTATCCAATAAAAAATTAATAATAAACGATGGATTTATTTTTTTTTTTGAAAATTTAGACAATGTCCTAGGGCAGAACAGTTTAGCCGCTAGTGTTGATTCACAAGGACTCACAAAATATGTATTCTAGCCACACCAAGTTTAGAGGACCCCCCCCATATATTTAGCAACTGGATTTATCCGCTTTTTCGTTACCAAGGCTTTTTTTGCCGAAAATTCGTCGTTTTTTCTGTAGCATAACAAATTTCTCTCTTCTCCGTGGCGAGAAAGTAAAAACCTACTATTTGATTGTAGTTAGTCTTCAAAGCATTAATTCTTTCAACTTTAATATATTATTAAAATATAGGGTTTTACCACAAAACCAGTTAATAAGACAAAGTGATAACATACCACTGGCACACTATTTTTCATTTAAAGGAAAACATCACAACATTTTGGGAAGTAAAATGCTAATTTCATTTCTCAATGAAAACCCTTATAATATATAGATAGATTTCACTTATCACATATAGATTCAGAAATAAGTAGTTTTATTTTAATTTTCGACTCTCTACTAGTTCAAAATAGTGTTAAAATTCAATATTTTATAGAATGTTTATACTATTTTGAATCATGTTGCTATGACATTTTCTCAACAAATTCTGTCGTTCAAATAATACATTTTTATTTCAGGAGGAATGTTGTCCTGCCGATATTAGCTCTTTCACTACTACTACTGTTATGAAAAATAAATAGTGATTTAGATAATATTGATTTTTGCAATATTTCGATTTTTGTTAAACCTTGAAGGAGCCAAAAGCAATTTTTCGCAGATATGTAAAGCTAACAATGAAGGAGATGAAGAACTGAACATTAAAAATGATTAAAAAATCTTGTAATAGGTTTTAACAAACTTAATTTGTTTATATTTAGGGTAGGCATTCAATAGAATTGGAAAAATATAATGGCTACTCATCGCGCTCGTACAAACAATATATTCATACTTTTTTAATGAAACTTAAGAAAAAACGTATTTTCGGACAATTATGAACGGTATACAGAGGAAAAGAGAACAGAAGGAATAAAATGAGAAATGTGTAAGTATATTCTGTAAAGTATAATATTTATATTTTAAATATAATCTTCAGTTTTTTGTTAATGCCTGTGAACATTCTTATGTAATTGGTTGCAAATACTCACCTTGACTACATTCGTGATGGAGAGAAAGTACTAATCCTACCCGGGGTCAATTAAGGAGGCAAAAGGTGCTTTAGTCACTGACGACAGTTCTTTGATTTATTTTGTCAAAGAACTGTAAAATTGTATATGACGTTTGGGGGAGAAGTAGGGTAGATGGGAGGTATGGAGGATGATAGCAGCAAAGGTGAGCGAAAATTGAAGTCGATCGATGACAGTGCTCGGCCGCCAGGTTCTGCTTGGTCGGCAGGCGCACCTGCTGCCTGGAGGAGAATTTTAGCGACCGGCTGCCGCTATCGCCAGTTTTCAGTTGTTTCTCCGATCAACATGACGCAAATGGCGGTATAGTACCCTACTAAAAACTATGGACCACGCGCGATCTGTCCTTCATCTTTCTTGCCTGATCTTCACCCCCTCTTACTTACACACACTTTAACATGTTCTGTACTACCACATATACCGGGAGATGGGTCGGGAGCTTAGATCTTGTCCCGGCTGGGGCGGTGCCCCTCTGGTGAGTGCTACGTATCTATCTAGTTGGGGGAGAACTCCCGCAAACCGGCGGGTAGGTCGGCGCCGGATATTGCCATCCAACTGGGGAATATAACAGCTGTCTCACGCGATAAAAACATACACTGCACTTATGCGTCTAATGCCGTTATTAGTTAACGCACCTGGAGTTATTAAACAATATATCAATCAGTTCGTACCCCTATTCGGCCACCCCTTTCTTCTCTTGAGGACCCCATCCCGCCCCGTCCGAGCCCGCTTCCGCCCTATCCTCTTCTACCTTCCCTCGACCGCCTCGGCTCCACACTGCATCGCATTCTCCCTAGACCCATCGGAAAAAGTTGGCGTCGTTTTCTTTTATGAAGAAGTGAAATTATTTTGTGATTAGATAGTTGACTGTATATTAAATTTCTCATCTGCAAATAACTGATCGAAAATGGCCCTTCGTCTGCTCATGCTCTGAAATTGTATTAATTCAAGTTAATCAACCTCGTTCCGAAATGTTTATTATCTTATACTTCGAAATATTTAGTATTTTGATATCATTATAAAAAACATTAATTGTTGATTTAAGAATGAAATTTGAGCTTCATATTCGGCGAAATGTCATGATTTTTGCTTTAAATGGAAAGGGAACGGTCCCTAAATGTGTTATAGTTTTCTATCGCTGTTAAAAACTGGTTTTGTAGTATATATTAAATTTAATAATTACAGAAAATTATTAGAATTAACACTTATCTGTCCTCGTTTGGACGTTTGGTTGTGCAGTTTTCAATCGATATATCGATCGCACACGGCGTTATGTTCTCAGCTCGGGCAAGCGTGCGAGTGTGAGGTTATAGTTAACGAAGGAAGCCCAATTTTTAATTTCGAAGATTGAGTGTTTTTAAATGAAAAGATTAGTGTACTATATAAATGCAATATCCGGAAATTGTATCACACCCGTGTCCTTTTACAAAACATTGTGAACGATTGTAGTGATGCATTAGTTTTTTAAAGCTAAGGTGAACAGTATTTCCCCCGTCAGATCACTACAACGTACAAGTCCACGCGTAGATAAATATAAAACATTATTCAATTACATTTTCAGGCAATTATTCACCTATGTGCTCACGGTAAAGTTTAGTAATTATACATTAAATCTTAAGAATCATACCGACCCCCTTTTTTAACGTTCGTCGCTCCGTCCCGCCGCTTGTTCCTTTTTTTTGAAATTGTTTAATGAAAATACACATACTTTTATTTGTTGCGAAAATTTAGGCTGTTCTATGTCGATTCATTAGATTTACTCTACTCCTCCCCTGACATATAGTTTGCCTAACAATTTAATTTATTTTAATTAACAAAATAATTTTCTTTTGATAATAAAACATAACATAGTTTCTCCTTATTATTTCTTTTTTCTCCATTATCATATCACCTTAATATTGGCTAAACACCCCCTCCCACCACTTGGCAATCGTAATACGATGCCGTCCCTAGCACGGGGAGACGAGTAGGACTACTATCAACGAAACATTAAATAATTCAGATCAAATGGTGTGTGTATGTTTTAACTTGTTCAGTTCTAGCAGAATTACAAAATAACAGAAAATATACATCTTAACATAGTATATATGATAACTTATAACAATATAATTTATAAACAATACCAATAATTAACCAACACTGTCGCCTGCAGCACGTCCGCCGCCCGTGCCTCACTGCGCCTGAGCCCACCCCCCGCCGGTCCTGCGGTTCGCCGCCTCCGGAAAATCAACAGCTGCCGCAGACGGCGGCTTCCGCCTCGGCCCCTAATTGTTTCTCCGGTCGCTTCTTGGCGCTGCTTCGTAGACCTCGAACCAGCGAATTGGTTCCGCTTTGCCCTACCGTTCCCAAGTTCAAGTTCTTTCAGATGCTCGAATCGTGCAACCAATGTCAAGAAATGTAGGATACGAATTATAAACGACACATGAAATGTTTTGGGCTTGAAAAATATATATGTTGATTTTTTCAGTGTTTGACATGTCGTACCTAGATAATCGTTTTGTTAGGGATTTTGTTATTTAGATAGAATTATTATATTCTCGTTTTGTTTAATATTTTATATTTATTTATATACCTTTTGGTTTCAGGTGAGTAATTGGAGAGACTGAAAATGAAGAGTACTACTGCTGTAAGTGAGTAAAATGACAATAATGAATTCAATGGCAATTCTGTTAAATTTCTTTCTTCATACGTTTGCTGATGCAAAATCAACTAAATACACAAGACGAATTGTGTGGATTAATAGAACACCCACATAAAAATGACTTTCTCGAAATGGTCACATAATGTTTACACATTACTTCTCAGATATAACAAAATTACTGTTCGAAAAGAAAATAACTATGAATGGTTTTTCTAAACCAACAAATGTCTTAATTATAGGGATGATAGCAAATAGAGTATTTCTAAATAAAGATATTTTATAATGTGGGGGAAAATCTCTCGCAAATGTATATAACTTCCCTTTTTTATTTTGGAACCTGCTATACCCTTAAACTTAAAGGAATTTTTTGCTTTTCTGTTTGGAATTGTTCTCTAGAAGAAAAAAAATCTCCTATTTGGAGAAATCGTTATTTATCGAATGTTTCTGAATATGGTTAGTCCCGTTAGTGTAGTGCATGTATTATCCCAGGAGGTGGCTGTTTTGCTCTCCCTCTGGATAGTGAGATTCGGCGCCGTCATACAGGTCGACATGCGGGGCAGGTTTCTCCCCCCAGCTGATCTCTCCCCCAGCGGAGCACCGCCCCAAGCGGGACAAGCTCCAAGTCCCTTCTGGTTTTCCGACGCGTGCGGTAGTGTGCCTTCCTCCAAGGTATCTCCAAGGTGTCGAAAATCCAACTCTCTGGGACTCGAAACCGAGTGATGGGTCTCCTGGCCAGAATCGATGCAGAGACAGCAGCAATTCTCTGTGGTATCTCAGCCTCTCATGTGCAAACGTTCTACTCGAGCATGATTTTTTAATAAATAAGCATTCTTCCTAGTAGCTAATTTTGTTTCCCCTTTTTAATTGTTGCACAATAATATGCACTAAGCAAGCAGTAATAACCTTAGCATTTCTTTCAGTCAAATCTAAACAAAGGTTTTTTCATAGGACACGCCATTGCCGTTGCCATGCAACACTAAGGCAACGTTATCCTTTTTCTATCTTGAGGTCCTGGTGTTGTGAAAATGCAGTGAATTGTGTTCACTGTATGTTCTATTTCCAGGTTCACTTAACTATTGCAAACGTTGTTCTTAGTATGTTTCTACAGAATTGAACAGTATTTAATACAGTATTGAATTCAAGGATTAGTTTGGCGAAGTGCAGTCATTTTGAGTGTGTTTCTTCTTATCTTCTCTTTCTTCTTGTCCATTGGATTTCTTTGCTTGGCGAATGTTCATTGGCAAGGATATTATTTTTACATTGATTCGTTTTACACAAACTATAGCTGCACCACTACGTCCATTGAAAAAACAAAAACAAAATTCTGCTGCCACCTATGTTCTCTTTTTTGGCAAGAACAGGGCTAGTTTTGGACATGTCCGCTCTAAGTAGAACTGCATGATTTTCTTATGTGAATTTGAATGTGACATTAACGTCAATTTTTCGGGATAATAGATGCGAAATAGGTAAAAAATATTAATCTCAAAGTATGAATATTTGGATATGTTCATTTATTGCTGTCAGTCCTTCAGTAATTGTTCGTGAGAAAGTGTTATTGTCGTCAGACATTTTTTGTATGTGAGATTAGCCTACCGGTCCACTGTTTTCTAATATCCACTGGTAATCAGTATGATAATGGGGATATGGGTATTCCACGGACGTCAAAGGCGTGATGTGGTGAAATTGTGTATGAATTAATACAACACTATATAAAATTGTAGTGGATAGTTATCAAACAAGTTTTTACAACTGTTAATACATATTTAAGCAAATGTGTGTTACAAGCAATTGAATAATTGGACTGTATCATTGTAGAAAATAATCTTAATATTTTTAGTTACTGTATATTACAATGAAGTCGTATATAACTTAAAAACAGTTCTTGCGACCATATCTGTGTTTTTAAATAAAGAAATAAAATACTACATCGTGAAGGCCTTTTATCCAAATGCTTCGGTTCCGGAACTTTCCCATGCGTAGTTTTATTCAAGGACATCATTCGCCTGACGAATTTTATAAAGTCGAAGAGCGCGTGAAATAACGTCACAAAAACGAAAATCTGCCGGAGCTTGCACAAACGTCCAGGCAATCAGCGCCCAACGCGCAAACAATCGGCCATCTTTAGAACCCGAATGCTGCGTAATGAGTTTAAGGGGAGCTCGTAACAGAGCCTGTAAATCAAGGCACCAGCGCCTCCACGACCCATCACCGCCACCGCCACCGCCACCGCCACAGCCACAGCCACCTCTGCCTACACAAACTCTGCTTCCACCACCACCGCCGCACACTGTGGGCCTCTTTGTTAACTATAAGCGCGTTGTATTTGCATGTCTGCATATAAATGCGGACGCCTGCTAGAAAGTCGCTCTCGATTTTTGGTATGGGATGGAGATGGAGATATGGGTTAGAAGGAGACTTTGCGTGGGCGATTTGGGTGAGAGAGCGTCCTGTGTAGTCTTCCCCATGATACGAAGATGAGTGCATTCTAAATTACAATTCGTTTGCCGAAATTATGCTTTTTTCTGCTGTATTCGGCGTCACATTTCACAACAGACTCCGATATATAGAATAATTTTGGTATTCCTACAACAATAATTATTTTCGTAACACAGTTTTCTGTTACGACTTAACGCAATCAAGAGGAATTAAAAGTCACTTTAAAAGACGGGCGCCCTTTAAGTATTTAACAATCCGCAGTCTATTAAGAATAATAAATGAAGATGGTGATTGAGAACTTATATTTGGAGAATGAAAGGATGGATATGAGTATTGTTTACATGTTTTTTTCTTGTGAGAAGTATTCAACAACACTACCTCGACTATCGCGTCCATTTACAAATAAAAACCCCACCATCACCGTGTTTCTCTTACTTTCAGAAATTTGCTTTTTCCATATACTTCTTGGATTTGCATGCGGTTACACGTATTGTTCCTTTTGATATCAACAAATCCCTTTTGCGTCTCTTTTTGCATTTTCTTTTTGTATAAGGAATATTTACACAGCTTTTTCTATTTCAATACTTCTCTTCCACAACTCCTAGTCGTTCACTTCAACTAACTTCCTGTTTTACGTTCCTTCTTATCACCTTGTAACCCCATTGGGAACATCTTGCTCACAAAAAGATCATAACATTACATTGTAATTACTCGTCTTTGTAAATGGTAATTTGATGTGGTTGCTTGGGAGTCGTTTGCAGAGGGATGGTAATGTGAGGTCAGAACAATCACTATATTCTGGTAGATTACATTGAATAAGTAATAAGGAAATTAAGGAGCATGTGGGGTAGTTGGGTTTGAACGCTGGAATCTACTACGAGCTAACTTATGCTGATGAAAAGGGAAGGCATTATTGCATCGTGGCTGGCAATTGCAGACAGTAAATACGAATAAATGATCGTGTTTTTGTGACAGATTGTGAGAGAAATAATATCACTCTTGTCAAATTAATGGCGCAGAATTCTCGACAGTATTTATTCATACTTGGTAGGAAATCATTCTCATATATTGATGATAAGGGAATTTAAATGGTCTACGAGCTAAGATTAAATTTCTGTAACGATTGAGACCGGGTAGGGGAGTACGGTTGGGAACGGCTAGGTGGGAGGATACTCTCGGAATCGTGTGTGTTGGTTGGTGTTTGGGTACAGGAGAGACGGATGGGTGGCTGGGTGGGTACGATCGAGGACGGGTAGGTGAGTACCACAGGGAACGGGCGGCAGCGGTAAAGAAAGAAAGAAACAAACAAACATGACGAAAGAAAGAAGAAAGAGAAACAAGGAGTAAGAAAGAAAGAAAGCGAAAGAGAGGGAAAGAAAGAAAAAAGAGAGGGAAAGAAAGAAAGAGGGAAAGAGAGGGAAAGAAAGAAAGAAAGAGGGAAAGAGGGAAAGAAAGAAAGAAAGAAAGAAAGAAAGAAAGAAAGAGGGAAAGAGAGGGAAATAAATAAATAAAGAAAGAGGGAAAGAGAGGGAAATAAATAAATAAAGAAAGAAAGAGGGAAAGAGAGGGAAAGAAATGAAAGAAAGAAAGAGAGGGAAAGAAAGAAAGGGAGAATCTCGTAACTGTGGGGAGCGGCGCCGAGTGGGGTGAGCGGTGGAGGGGCGTGGGAACGGCGTAGCGGGGTGGGGCCGAAGCCCTTGTTGGGGGCGTGCAGGGGCGGCGTCGACGCGCCCCCGACAAGCCCCTTGGCGCGTAGTCCCCACCCTCGTCGCACTCCGGTGCTCCCCACAGGCACTGCCCCTTTCACGCCTCCGCGCAGAGGCATGCCGCAATTCTTCGCTCAGACTCACCGCCCAGCAGACTCGGACCGCTTCCGTCGTCTCGCTGCTGAAGAATAGGGAACGCCTTACTAGTTAGAATGTGACTGTGACCGTTTTGGCCCCCTAATACCGCCAATGTTCCCATCTGAAAATCATTCTCTCTCGCCGTCGTTCTCTCTCGTCGCCATACATCCCTCGTTATCAACACACCATCCTTCTTGCAGTGGAACACAATGGAAGAACACCACTGTGATCATCATCCCAGTAAAGATGTCATAAAAGCGTAAACTTCGTATCTCGCCCTCGAGGAATGAGCCCCCGAGAAGCGAGCATAGTATTACTCATTATTGTTAATGGAAAATACGAAGCTTGAAAATCTGATCTGTAAATGCAAAGTTTTAATTAATTTCCATCAAACATATTTTTAGGGAAAATGGAAACGTGACATAATGCATCACTGGAAAACCTTCTCGAAGTATGTAATTGTAAAATTTCGGAATAATGTATGATCCTATATATAGTCATTTTACTATACGTTATGACTATTTATGATTAATTAGTCTGCTTATTTCGAAGCAGTGATTTCTTCATTATTTTTGTTTGAAAACAATTTTAGTTAAATCTTGTAAAACCAAAGGAGAACCAAAATGCTAAAGAATTAGTGAATAAATTCAGAATCTTTGTTTACAATAGGTGTATTGTTTATGATCAAGTGAATGCATTAATAGTGAAATGTGAAATTTATCCTCTCGTTTACCTAGTGTAGAGAAAGTTATGTAATTTTGCAAAAAATTGGCGACGGTATTATATTCACATAATACATGCTCTTCCCCATTAGAATTGAAAATAAAAATTTCTTTCTTAATGCAATATATTTTAGAATATAATTAACT